TAGGCGATCAAACCAGTCAGTCCTAGAGGAGATCAACCCTGACTGCTCTTTAGAAGCCAGACACTGAAGATGAAACTCAAATACTTTGGCCACCTAATGAGAAGGAAGGACTCCCTGGAGAAGAGCCTAATGCTGGGAACAATGGATGGCAAAAGAAGAAGGGGACGGCAGAGGATGAGGTGGCTAGATGGAGTCATTGAAGCAGTTGGTGTGAGCTTAAGTGGACTCCGTCGGATGCTGGAGGACAGGAAGGCCTGGAGGAATGTTGTCCATGGGGTCACGATGGGTCAGACATGACTTCGTGACTAACAACAACAACAACAATTAAGATTTTCATGGCAACCCTGAACAAAAACAAGCAAGCAAATTTGTACTCAAGGCCTTCAACCATTTGCTGACTAGGGTGGAGCCCAAATGGCATGTCCTTCTGCTAGAGCCTATCCTAATCTTTACCCTATTCTTTAAGATTACAGATATTGGGCAGCATCCAGTACTACTGCTGCACCCCTGCTAGGGCTATAACAGTCATGTTACCTACCACAAGCACAACAGGAACAGGCCTTTTCAAAAGGAGCTTCAGAAATAAGGGAAACCCCCATTTCCAGGCTGGGACTGGTCAAAGAAGCTGCCTTCTTCAAGCTCTGCTCACCTGCTCTGTTTTTGAAGGCAGCATTTTTGCTGGTTTCTGGATGCTGGTAGGACCCAGTAGCACATGGGAAATACTGGATACTCTCCATATCAGGAATTAATACTATGCATTACATTACAATAGCCTGGCTATCTTCCACCCTGATCAATGTGGATCCTACTTAGAACTGTTTTGATCCATTATCTAATCTATAGGATTCATTTACAAGTGCATACAAGAGGGGTTGGTCGAAAGAAAAAGAAACCCTCCAAAAGTGAATAATTTGTTTTCCAGTCAAACGTATGATTGTGCAAACATGAAACTGTGGTTTTCCTCACTGCTAACATCAACCTACCATCAATCAATCTGTTCAGAAAAGAGCAATGAGACACAATGATGCCAAACACACTGCAAAGAGCTCCAGGAGAATTTCTCCTAAGACACATGGGTGAATGACCATCACAATAGCAAATGAATTACCAGGTAAGGAAGTCTAAAGCCACAATCCTATGTATGTTTAGACAGAAGTCCTATAAGACCCAGCATTCCCTAGTTGCCATGCTGGCTGGGGCATGCTGAGAGTTGTAGATGTTTTTCTGCCTAGACATGTGCAGGTGTCAAGGTGCTACTCAACATGTAAACAACCCACACGTTCACGAGCAATAAAACTAAAGTCCTTTATTGCTACTTGTCTACAAGATTTACAACTCTATAGATAAGCTCGTCTGTTGAGGTCTTTGGAATGCAGATGTTAATCCTCTAATGGTGTCTCTCCCCGAGCCCACATGGGACTAGCCCTCCTGGTCACGCCCTTCTTCCCTCTGGCGTAACAAGCTCTGCCTTTGCTCATATCTTCTAAGAATTCTACGATTGTTTGCTAGAAAAAAGTCTATTATGCCCCCTGCATCTCCTGTGTCATGTTCAGGAAGTTCAGCGTCAGTAGGAGGAGGGACAGCGCGCTCTGACTCCTTCTGAGCAGAACTCTTAGTGCCTTTTCCTTCGGGGCTCTCTTGCTTTGATGTGGGCTCGGGTGTTTGCTCAATGGGCAGGAAGTCAGTGGGAGGTGCAGCTATCTGCTCAGCCACCCCCAAGCTAGGTTGCGGGGTTGGCTTTTGGACACAGGGTCCTAAGCACAAGACCTCCTCGTGAGGTGCTGTCTCTGTTGGGGCTTCAGGCACGACAGCAGGTTTGTGCCATAAATATATGCACACTCATGAGATGTTTTTCTCCATGGGACAAATCCAATTTTGTCAGGGTGTCCAGGGCCATGCATGTGTTTGTCACATGGATAGACACATGCAAGTATGCCCACAACAAACACTAGGTCTTGCTCGCTCTCTCTCTCTCTCTCTCTCTCTCTCTCTCTCTCTCTCACACACACACACACACACACACACACACCACTTACTTTCAAGTACTGTTCCACAATTCATGCTATGCTGGACAAATATACCTTACCAGGCAGAATGCATACAACTTAATTGTTTATGGTGGATGAGTAACATAGTTGAGTAACCCTAACATGGACAGCAGAGAGAATATATCTATCTAGTCATAGGTGACTTAAATATTAATATTTACCTTGTAGAGTTGTATAGTAATAGGCAGAAAATGCTGATCCAAAGTCATATGAATGTCTTTTCAACTCGACAGTCATTATGTTTGAAGTTGAGCTAAAGACATGGCGAGTATAAGTACAAACTGTCCCAATTTTTTGTAATGGATCCAGCCTCCCATTGTAGATTGTAATGTTGTCTGTAATGCAGTTCACACTGTAGAGATAAATTTCAATATTAGCATAAGCTATTCATGAAACATATTAAGGCAATCTGGGAAAACCCTCCTTCCTTCAGCACTGAAATCTAACACACATAAGCTAGACAAGTGGGAAGAACGGAGGTGCCTACACTCTCCAATAATACCATAGTGGTTCCAGTCTCTGAGATTTAACCAATTCCTTTAGATCTCTGAGCTTTTGGAAGTGGGATGGAGTTTACGTGTTTACAGTTGATTACGGAAACCATGTCCAAAGATTTGTTGGAGCAGCACAGCACCTGCTGAGGTCTGGAGGACCAATTTCATTAGATTTCCTTTTCATCAGGTTGGCATATGAAAGCTCAGAGGAACATGGGAAGCTGCCTTGTGTAGACCTTTGGCCTGTCTGCTGTTGCCAATGTCCAGCAGCAGCTCTCCAGGTGTCAGGAAGGAATTTCTCCAGCCCTAACTGGAGATGCCTGGTCTGCCATAAGACTATCCAATTTGCCCTGTGTTCATTGCCAAGGCAGGGGTTTTACCACAGTAAAGCATCTCACATCTAATCCACAAGTTTTATATTTATATAAAGGATATGAGGAAAATGGAGATTTGAGAACCACTGTGCAGGAGAGGAGTTCCCAGACAGCTGTTTGTCACGAAGACTGGTGGCTTCTTTGTCTCTGGGCTCTTAACTGTTCCAGCTTTTATTTGGAGCTTTATAGGAACTTACTATAGTGCCCATGGTGAGGAACCCATTTTTAAGAATTAAGATCAGCACCATGAGTAGCTCCTTTAATGCTCAAAGCAAAAGCTGCAGTGGATGAGGAGTCTCACTGACAAGGAGGGCCTCAGTTTCTCTTAGCTGTTTGGTTAGTATTCCTACCTATCCCCCCCTCCCCCCGCTTTAAAGAAATAGCAACTAGGGCACACTCTACACATGCATAGGAGAAAAAAAATCTACAGCATTCCTCAGCCACCATGGGAAAGGTCCTACAATTCTCAGCATTTCTCAACCACCCAGGAGTTATAGGACCTTTTTTCTGTCTAAACATGCATACAATTGCACCCTTAGATTGTTGGTTAAAAATGTGTTTCAGTTAGGTCCAGGATTAATTTTTCTGTCTACCTACAGACAGTGACAAAACATTAGCAACCAAACTGGATTCTATTCATCCATCCACTATAAACTTAAAAGATTTTTAAGAAATATCAGATTTTCAGAAGGTTTTCTGAACGTGCATGTAAAAAGGCAGTAGGAGAAAAGATTTAAGTATTATCTTATTTTCTTTTAATCAGGTTGTTCATTTAAACTTAATATAAAGGCAAAGGTTTCCCCTTGATGTTAAAGTCCAGTCATGCCTGACTCTAGGGGGCGGTGCTCATCTCCGTTTCCTAGCCGAGGGAGCCAGCGTTTGTCCGCAGACAGTCTCTGTGTGTTGTGAGGTGTCAGCTCACAGTTGTAAAATGACCCACACTTATGCTGGCAATAAAACTAAAGTCTTTTATTGCTACTTTTCTACAAGATTTACAATGCTACGAATAAGCTCTACTGTAATGACCTTTACAAGTTAGTTGCTACCTTCTAAGTGACGTCCCTCAGGGAACCCATGTGGGATCAGCTTTCTTTGTCTCACCTTTTCCCCCTGAGGTGGGACAAAGCCTCCTTTTGTTCCAATCGGTGTAAGGAACGTCTAAGAGTCGCGCAAGACAAATCTATCCCGCCTCCTGCGTCTTCTGTGTCTTGTTCAGGAGATGCAGTGTCAGGAGGAAGGGGAGTATCCTGCCCATGCTCTTCTTGGGCAGAACTTGGAGTGTCTTTTCCCTCGGTGCCCTCGTGGTTGGACAGAGGCGTGGCTGTTTGCCCAAGGGGTAAAGGGTCAGGAGGAGGGGTGGCTATCTGTTCAGCTACTCCCAAGTCAGGTTGTGGAAGGGTCACTTGGCCACAGGGCCTCAAGTATAAATCCTCCTGTTCTGATGTCTGATTCTCTCTTTGGGCATTTGACTCTTCCTCGTGAGGTGCCGCCTCTGTTGAGGCATCAGGCACGACACCATGGTCATATGGCCGGCATGACTAAACACCGAAGTGCACGGAACGCTGTTACCTGCCCACCAAAGTGGTACCTTTTTATCTACTTGCATTTGCATGCTTTCGAGCTGCAAGGTTGGCAGGAGCTGGGACAAAGCAGCGGGAACTCACCCCGTTGTGGAGATTTGAACCGGTGACCTTTCAATCTACCAGCTCAGCAGCACAGTGGTTTAAACCACTGCACCTCCTGCAGTCCCTAAATAATACTTAATATAGTATTATTAAAAATAGAAAATAGCATATATTCACCATAATTAAAGGGCTTAGATATTTTTATATATGAAACATTGACTATAATACTTCAGAATGAGCATTTTCAGGTCTGGTTATTCTTGTTCAGAGGTATATAACATTCTAGTAGGCACAAAAATGCATAAGCTTTCAGATGAGAACAGGGAATGAACTGATTTCAATGTAGAGTTGTATGTGGGGTTAACTGAAATCAAAGGAATTGTAAAGTTACAATTATGCACACATTCTTGAGAAGAGCTGGGCAGAAAAGGGCAATTTGCCTTTCAGTTCAGAATGTTCCCAATGCAATGAGAATCCAAAGGTGCTGTTGAAGGAGGAGGAAGAGAAAAATAGGCAAAGAAAGGCTGAGGTACTCCCACATTCTCCTGTGCATTTCTCCATTCAAAATTACCCAATCTCAAGGTGCCTTTTCATTCTGCAAACCGGAACTAGGAGTCATTGCAAGCATTTACAGGAAGTGTGGGTAACCCCTGACCTTTGAATAAATGTGTATGAGTATGGTTTGGAAAGCAATGAATATTAGCTGGATGTTGCTGATTCCTTTCTCAAGAAAGTGGCTTATGGAGTGATTCTGACCACCTACCTGATGGTTACAGGTGTGAAATGGACAGAAGCATCTCAGTGGTTGCAAAGAACAGACCAAGTAATTACTCAGTTATCATATAGAGAAAATAATGGTAACACCATATACTTACTTGTCATTAACAACATTAAACTTTAGGAACACACGATGATGGGGTGCTGCATGAATTTCCCAAACACAATTTAGCATCATGCCATTTCCAGGATAGTAAGGGCTATAAATATATCCACTTGCGTCTGAGAGGATGCCACCACACTGAATTTTTCCTGAATAGTAGAGAAGGAAATTTTACATATGAGATGTACATAGTCCCAGTGCCTGCCCCTATCTCCATCTTCCCAGGTTCCAAGGGAAGTTTCTGGGTCTTGCAGAATTCAGTGGAGATTGATGCTTTGTATGTGCCATCAGGCTTTGGTGACCATTCCCTGTGAAAGCCCACAAAGCTCCCAGATTTTTGTGAGCATTTGATTGGACTGCTTAAAAAGGCATTACTCAGTTCAGGCCAAGGATTGCGCTGCTCATACATTGCTGGTTAGGCGGCACGATCTGCCCCATGTGGCGCTGCCCTTGAAAATGTAATTTTCCTAGATGTCTTCTCTTACTAGAATCTTAGTTCTTGTTCCTATTCTTTCTCAAACAGCTTTTACTGGATTGTTTTAATGGATTTCCTTGGTTCTACAGTTATATGATTGTTCTACATTGCTGCTCGGATGGCTCCATTAAGTGCTCAGGAACACTGTGAAAACACTGGTTTAAAAAAGTGTAATCATTAAGTGTTCCCATCTGTCTAACTGTGTAGATGGAAAAATGAATCCTCGTCCACACACTTGTGAACAATAGTCTTCTTGTATACAGCTCTAGCTGGATCAGAGATGAAAGTGATAAGTTAGGATGAGAGATATTTTGAGACTGTATTCTAGTAGCATGCTAGCAGCAGTTGTAGACTTTTCACATGCTATTTAGGCACCGTCACAAGTATTTTCTCTTTCAGTGAGATCCTGTTCACAGGTTTTAAATATTATTATTATCCATTGACCTAACACAAATAAAACATAATACATTTATAATGGAATGTTTGAGGACCTGTTTCTGGATTATGTGTATTCTTTACACATTTTGAAAAGATGAATAGGAAAATTTAGAATGCAGACTTACCTGTGGTTATCTCGGGACTCAGGGTCTCTGATAAGAGAACAAAATCTGTAAATCTTTCAGCAGTAACTTTGAACAAAACTTAAAATGACTTACATAAAAGATAGTAAATTGAATAAAAAGACTGAAAAATCTTCACCCCATACCCAATCTGTCATAAATGGATAGGCACCAGAGATCGCAGTGACTGGATTCACAGACACAATAATGAACCATGGTTATTATTAGCCATGATGGGGTAGTGTCTCATGTGAACCAGGAACTCTTTCCCCAGGGTGGCTTATCTTATCTAGGGGTAAGTCAGCTACTTAGCAAATAGATCATGTGGCTCTTCCAAGCTTGCCAGCCATCACTGCCTTCATGCTCTTCCACCATGTTTTGTGAGCTGTTTCCATCTGGGCACAATTATTTATTTATTTGTTTATTTATTTATTTATTTATTTAAAGCTTTTATATACCGTCCACTACAAAAATCTTGGGACAGTTTTACAATAAAAGCAACACAAAATGAAAGAGAGCTCAGCATCCAACTTCTAGTAAATAAAACCCTCCTTAAAACCAGTTAAACAGTAAAGTAGTGGTAAAATAAGAAGGTTTTTGCCTGGTTTCAAAAGGACTAAAGCATCAGCACCAGGCGAACCTCTCTGAGGAGTGAGGAGCGTATTCCATAACCGGGGTGCCACCGCAGAGAAGGCCCTGCTCTGGGTAGCCACCATCCTAATCTCCTTCGAGGAGGGCTCCTGGAGAAGGACTTCCACCTCAGATCTTAAGGGACGGGAA